TCTCTTTGCTTTACATTATATGGAATCTGCTCTTTTTGTATTAGTGAAAGAAGAATAGAACTCTCTAACATTGTTTCTTTTTATCTGATTTCACTTGTGCTTCTTTGTCCCTTCCTTAAAATAACAAGGGAAAGGAAAAAGTCTGTAGAGACCAGAATTGTTTAGTTTTATCAGCTTGATCTGGTTCTAGGGGATAGGAAAAATGCAAACTTTCAAGTGGAAATAATCATTAATGCATGAAACTTCTTTGATTTTTGTACATTGCCATTATAACATCTCATTCTGAGTAGAATCTTGTTTCTGTTTTTCAAGATGTTAATCAGCATGTAGAGATTATTCTTGAATTCATTGGATGCATTTGTTTCTTCTGAGATAATACTATTAATTAGTTGGTGGTTTTCATTCTTTTGGATCTTTAGTGTTTTGCATTGGATGCAGGACTATTTTTGTTGCCTTGCCTGTTCTACTGACTCTTGCCAACTTGCTTGAGTCCCCTTAAGATCTTGTTTTTTAGATTCTGAGGAGATGAAGTGCGTAGGCAAAACCTGCAGATTCTGTACTACTGCCTCAGTTTAATGCTGGACATGGCATTGCTGTTATGGTTATAACTTCGCTCAAGACTTTGGTAGTTGCCTGCACAGCTCAAGTTAGTTCTTAAAGAAGCACCTAAAAATAATTTAACAATGTAACGAAAAACTCATCCCCTTGTGTTCTGCCAAAGCAAGATTATCCCTCATAATGGCCAGTTATGTACCTTATCAAGATGTCACCTTTAAATATTTGGGTAAAAAACTTCATGCTGCTGCTTTCAAGTTTTGTAAACCACAAAATGGAGCGAGTAAGACCCTTAAAGCCATCTTCTGGCCTCCTAGAAAACACATCACACCAGGAAAAGATAGGTTATGCTCATGTGATTCCTGCTAGAGATTTATTTTAAAAAATCAGGGTTTTTACAGAAGTAAAAATGCCTTTTCTTTAGCAAGAAGCAGCATACCTTGCTCATCTCTACCAGACCAACCAGTTGCTCTCTATTGCCTTTGTGTTTGGAGGCACGCTGTGCTGCAGCTGCTTCCCTGAGACAGATGAGTAGTTGAAACCACCAAAATGCTTTCTTGTCAGCCAGATCAAAAATTGAAGTAAAGCGGTGTTAGTCCTGGGTTGGGTATCTCCATTCACTTTTTTTGGCAGCAAATTACTTGTTAACTACCTAGAATTTGATTTGAAGAACATTTGCAACCTGTCCAGTAATGCAATGCAATCTTGATGATACTGCTGTCATACTATTATCTTAGTAAGGCTTTTGAGCGTCTGCTATTTTTCATCTGCAAGGTATGTTGCTCTATCAGAAAGACAGTAAAAACTTTTTGTTGACTCTTCTGGTGTTCTGCTTGAAGAAATTATTAAAAGCTATTTGTCTTCCCCTGTGTCTGAAAGCAAACAAAATAGGAAAAGCTTATTCTATCAAAAGGCTCCTCTCTTCTAAAAATGGACAAGTTTTTTTCTCCTCTGAGAAGGTATGGAGAATAGATATTTCTAGTTGTTGACAACTGACTACAGGTGTTCAGAACAAGTTCTCTGAATACACTATAGCAAATGTAATCAAACTCATTCACTTTTTAAAACATGGTTATCTTAGTATTCCGTAGCATGTTTTTTTCCTGTTCTAGCTTGAGACTTTGCACAATAAATACAAATGACAATGGAATGCTTTTTCTTTTTTGGGGTGGGGATTTTTTTCCTTTTTTCTTTTTCCTTCTGCTAAAAATCACATAATTCCGGTAGGAAAGAATTAGGGATTTCCTCCTAAGGTGGTCTTCAAACATACGTGTCTGTCCCTGAGGATAAGATTTGATCATTTTTGCTGATAAGATGTGAGACCATCTTTACTCCAGTTTGTTTTAAAGAATGAACCCAACACTTACTTTCACTGCAGTGTTTCCATAGCAAGGGCAAGTTATAGAGAAGTGGTCTGAATTTTACATATATAATAAACTCTTCTATATTTCTACGCTTCTTACCCGAAATCAGTTTCTCCAAAGATGGGCTTTTTTCCATATTTCCAAGTAAGATGACAAGGAAGTATATATTTGAGACAGGCTTTTTGTCCTTTGCTAGGTGTTTTTCCTTGTTTATATGACTCTTGAATAGTGCTGTCTTATCAGTGAACTGCTGTTATCAGTGTTCTTCCCAGTCTCTGATGGGGATAAAAAGCTTCTTAGAATTTGTTACACAAAAAGATGGAATCTGCGAGACTACTTGCTACCAAATGCAACGGGGTTAGTTTAGACTAGTGAACCTCATATTAACTTTAGCAATACTACAGTGCTGTCCAAATTTTTGTTCATTTGTGGTTTTCTTAGCCACATTCTTGTGAGGCAAAACAGAAGCCATTTACATCCACGTGCTTAAGGGGTGTATCTATATCCTATCTTCTCAGACATATTTTAAGTTGGGGGTATAATGGCCCCTTCCTCATTGCATGTGTATAATGTAAAACTTGAGAAATATTCTGTTCTTCTATGTACTATGAAAATTATACTTGTATATGGAATTATCGGCCATGATCCCGACTCTATTGATGACTTGGCAACACTTACTAGCTGTAATAAAGTAGAAAAGCAGGGGTTTCTTTCTTCAGCTCCTTGTATAGGTAGGATAGCTTGGCTCAGTCTAGACAGCATGCTGCAGTGTGGGACAGCTATTTTCTACTGGGTAGCAAGAAGGATGTCTTGTGCTTTGCCTGAGAAACTGTAATCTTGACAAGCTTTTTTCCACGAGTTTGACTTTCCCTTGCTGTAATCTAAACTCTACCTTAACTTTTTGTAGACGCCATGGGAAGGAGGCTTATTTAAACTACGGATGCTTTTCAAGGATGACTACCCTTCTTCACCCCCAAAATGTAAGTAAAATGACTAAAAACCACAGGTTTATTGGAACAATGTTAAACTAGTCCATGAGCTTCTATGAATGGTTATTTTCTCACAGATTTTTTTTAAGGAAAGTTACTTTTTTTTCTTTTTTCCCCACCCACCACTTTGCATGTAGAAAGTTGTGATGAAATGAGTTAAGTGCTCGATATAAGAAAATTGGGAGTTGGGAGAGGAGGGGGATTGCTGTGTGGGTTTCCTCAAAGTTTGACAAAAGCACCACTTGAAGTGTTCACTACTTGATCAGCACTCTTTGGAAACTAATAGGTAGGCATGGTTAGACCAAATCCCTTTGTGTGTTCTTACTGTTAAGTTGGTCTTCTAAGCCAAGAACTCAGAAGGCAAGAAAATGGGGGGGGGGGGGGGGAAGAAAAAGTTCCATCAACTTTAACCTTTTCATTGACTTGCTTTAAAACATCGACCTAGTCTTTTTCTGCTATGTACAACAGATATCTTCAGATACCTAGTTTCCTATTAAGTTTTAGAATTTTCCTTATCCCATCTCAAACTTACCTACTTTAGAAATCTGAAAACATCTATTGCCTTGTGTAGTTTCTCGGTTCTTGAATTGGCTACCATATCAAATCAGTGACAGTGATTACAAATGGCTCTTTTGAGAGTGGTTCATTTCTCATTTCAGTGTTTCAGCTGTTTTGGTTATCTTGGCTACTCCTTTTGTTTGTTACCACCTAAATACATGTGACACAAGAGGAAACATATCTTTTAACTAGAAAATACTTAATGTTAATATCTTGAGAAATACCACCTACCATATCCTGCAAGTGTTTAAATAAACTGTCACACCTTAAAATAAGATGTATATGTGACTGGTAAGACTTCTTAGCAATGTAGCTTCTGAGTTCCTACTGAACTTCACTGAGCAGCTCAATCAAGACTTCCTTGTGATGTCAGATGGATTAGAAAGCTGCACTAACATGTAGATATTTCATATATTGCTAAACAAGTGTTCATTACATTACTCAAGATGGTGGCTGTTGCATTTAAGTCCTGTAAAGATTAAAGAAATGGCAGAATATAGATTGAGTGGCAGAAGGAGAGCTGCACAAGCCTGCTCCTTCAGTCAGTTTTGCAACTTAAACTTGGTTCCTCTTGTTCAGTGCATCTTGATTATACATAAAGGAAAAGTGAAACTGAAAAAAATGCTAGAAGCTTAGTCGTCTTTGTATGGAACTTTCAGTATTTTAAAGTGAGGAGAGAAGAGATGAGTGAAAGGCAGTATCTTTCCTTTATATAGTAGTACGTGAGGCTGTAAAGACAGGATTGGTTTAAAAAGGTCTTTATCACAAAGCTACTACAAACTATGTCGTCAGTTTCCATTCCTAAACCAAAAGATGACTGGTCACAATGATAGTGTTACACTGCCTGGGTTGATACCACAGATGTGATGGAGTTCTTGCTTTAGGTGCAGGCTGAGCCAAGAGGAAAACCAGTATTAATAGCTCCAGAAATCCTCTCTAATCTTGGTCTTACTGCTGCATGCAAGTAATTCTCTCTTCTTCATCAGGTAAATTTGAGCCACCATTATTCCACCCAAACGTGTATCCTTCAGGCACAGTGTGTCTCTCCATCTTAGAGGAGGATAAGGACTGGAGGCCAGCAATCACAATTAAACAGGTCATTAATTGTATATAGACATATTCTTTAGCCCTTTTATTTGCTTTGCTTGCTTATCTTATGTGAATGTAAGATGTTCACTGTGTGTTTCTACAGTTGGTTTCTAAGGGTTTTTTGATCAAATGTCTCTTAGTGATATCCATGCCTATGTTACTTCTATTCCTTCTTCCACAGATCTTGTTAGGAATACAAGAACTTCTAAATGAACCAAATATTCAAGACCCAGCTCAAGCAGAGGCTTACACAATTTACTGGTGAGTCTCTTTGCTGTCATTGCCTACAGCTGTCTGTTACTTATACCTATAACATGCAAATGTTTTTAGGAATGATCAGGGGAATTTTCTTATCTTCATGGCTGTATCCTGTGGAGATGCTTAGCTTGTGCTAAATTTTAACAAAATAGTAACCTCACGGTTAGTAGGCTAGTGGAGCTTTTAATAGCATCGCAACAGCAATAAAGTGTGAAGACTTTCAGTTAGACCATGATTCTCATCCTGGTTCTAGCCCAACATAGAATCCTTTCCCCTAAAGGCTAATGGAGTAGTAGTGATGAGGCGTAATGATTTCGTGAGACTGAATTAAGTGACAAGTCCCATTCATCAGTATAGGAGTAACTTACTTCTGTCCAGTAGTGGGTACGTGTAAGCGCCTGTGCCTGAAGGATAAAGGAGAGTTTCTGTGATTGCCACAGGAAACATGCGGCACTTTGAGAAAACTACGTCTTCCAAAAGAATAGGTTAAAAAGTACAGAAAACTTGTAGATTTAGCAGAATGAAGTTTGCATTGGTTAGGAAAGGTGATAATTTGTGAGCTAAAAAGTGCTCTCTTTTTTTTTTAGGCTTAATCTTAAAATTTTCCCACCATTAAAAGTGGATGGCTGATCTATAATCTTTAGGGGAGCAAAACACTTTAAAACAAATGCTTTTGGTACTGACAGCTACTGAAATAATGACTGAGATGGAAATGTGGAATTACCATTCTGGACAGAAGAACAAGTGTCCAGGAGAGTGCCAAGTTTGAAAAATGGCATTTTATGAGACTTCACATGCAAGCTATGTCAAAAATGTCTGTTACAGGATCCTAGTGAAAAGGAAACATAGGGATGGGTAGTGCATCTTGGATTTAATTAAAGGCTTCACTCAATGTTAGTTTTTTAAGTATCTACTGAAGACCTGATTGGACTGAGTACATATGGAGGACAGTTAGGTGGCCACAGTTGTAGGCAGCGCCTTTGGGAGCCAGTAATGATGAGGCAGGCCTTCCCCACCCCCCTTTTTTTAAAAAAAAAAAAAGCCACTCTGAGGGAATACGGGGCAGGAATAATATACTTGTGTAAGTAGTCTGTGTGTTTTATTTTTTTATCACCTCTCACACGCATGTACATATAAAACCAGTCTTTGCTAGTCTTGCTTCTGCTTTATTGTAAGTGCTCCTAGAAAAAAAATATCTATTGAGAATAAACTATTACATGTGCTTTTGTCACTTCAAATATATATAGTCTCCCATTTATCCTTTTCATGTCTTTTGGACATGCATAGTATTTCAGATGGGTTACTCTTATTTCTGCAGTCTGAGAGTGTCTCTCTTACTACTTAATGAGTAACTGGTAGAAGCTCAACAGCAGGATTGTGTATGCATCTGTAATTTGGTATAGTTGATAAATACTGGGGAAGGTGCAGTGTTGTTTAAATAGAAGTCTTTTAGTCAAGTTGTTCAAGAATAAACTTTGTATTCAGAATAAGAATACTTGTTCTCATTCTCAGGGTTGCTTTGGTACTGTCGCTCTGTAGCTTTAGCGCTCTTAATGTGCTAACCTGCTTCTTCCTCTCTGCTGTAGGCATGCAGAGTGCACTATGGCAGGCAGGCATTCTTTTGTGTGGATTCTGAGGGTGTGAGACTTAACAGCTAGGTTGTGTTCTCATGTGACGGTGCAATATAACTTAGAGAAAAATTTTAGAATAAAGTTCGTAAATTTGTTTATGAGAAGAAACTAGAGGGGTTTTTTTAGTCTGTTTGCTGGTAATCGTTCATTGGATGTGACCAAAATTGGCTTCATTTCTTCTTCCCCCCAAACTGTCAACTTCTGAGGATATAATTTGCTGCCTCTTTTTTTTTTTTTTTTTTTTTTTTTGCAGCAAGCCCTCATAACTGAAACAAAATTAAGTTTTCTTC